GCCTCCTAGTTAAGAGCAATAAACTTCTTTTCAATAACATCGGTTTTCGTGATGCCAATGAGTTTAAAAATTGTAGCCTAATTCATTTTTAATTGCTCATTGCTGCCCACTCCTCAAAATAGTTTAGCTCGGAAACGGTTCATGACTTACAGATTCCTGGCTACGCCACTGCCTATAATATTCACATGTATGCAGTTTCGTGGAGAATCAAATGCTGCATCGTTCAGAAAATATTCAGTCCAAATCTGTAAAACCATTAAATCATTGATATTAAATCTAATTCAATGTCATGATGTTCCATTTTCGAATCAACTGTTGTTACATAGTTATGTCTGTGGCGAAGGATGTCTAAATTTCTTTCCTCTATACTTTAACACTCCAGATCTATACCTTGTGAACTATATAAAATATAAAGTAAACAATCATTATGTTTGTTCAATGGTCGAATAATTTTGAGTGGCATTCTTGATTGTTTTAATTAATTTGTAACATATTAGAGCTCATTTTTTCATGAAATCTATCCTAATTCATCATCAGGAAATAAGAAAAAAAAGCTTTTCATTTTTTCATCACATGAAGGAAGATGAAATAATATTTGAGAAGCTAATTAAATAATTAACTTAATCTAAAATCATTATTTCAATAAAATCCTTATCATCATCATGAAGATCTTTTGTGAGTCAGTTATTTAATTTTTTCTTTGATAATTATAACCACATAATAAATCTTAAACTTGACTTTCATAAACATGAAACTCAAATAAGTTCTATTTTTAAATCATGACAATCAATTTGATGATCTTCATGATTTTCAAAATATTCAAATACCGTGTAAATTTCATCATTTTCTTCTTCAATCAAGTTACAAAGTCGACATTTTTAGATTTTTTTCTTCATATATGAAATGCAGAAGCTGTGAAAAGAATGAGAAAAATCGGCATCTTGTTATTAGATGAAATGATTTTTTTCTGCAAACAGTAGCTAATCTGCTATTTACAGTTATTTCGAATAAGTTTCAAATGAATAATTATGATTAATCAGTATCGATAAAAAGAAATGAAGACAAAAAGAGAGCGTCATCTTTTCTGCTATGTATATGACATATCAATGGTTTGTTACAAATGGACGTAGATTTTTGTTTTTGGGTGTGGGGTGTGTGGGTGTGAGTCCAGTTCTCCACTTAAGCCACACCCCACAGCCCACACTCACACCCACACGCCCACACCCGCACCCACACACCCACACACATACCCACACCCACCCACACTCACACCCACCCCCAGACCCAGAGAAAGTTTTACTGCGTCTTCCTATGGTAAATATCAATTTCAAGCTTTTTTCGAAAAATTAAATTTGGTAAGGGGGACCATCTTAACAGACTAATCATATAAATCAGTACGCCTGTAACAATGGATTGTTATCTCCAGATCTTTTATTGAAAATATTTAATTTTTATCGAAATTATATGTCTCGCTCTACATTACTTCTAAAATAGTTAAGAATGAGCAAACGATAGATTATAATCTTAAAATTGTTGTTGCCCACTTCATCATTTATTTCTTAGGCAGACAAATAAATCCTTTGAATATGACACTTTTATTTCCAACTATTGCATTTTATCGAAATTTCACAAGTGCTTTTTCAAATAGAGTTGTTGGCTTATCTTTATTGTGCTCTATAATAAAATGACTCGAAATGAAACTTTTACGAGCATGCAGTAAAGATAAATACATTACACAGAATTTTATTAATTATAAACATAAAGATAAACAGTTTTTTAAAATTAATGCTTTTAAAAAAAAGATAAATGAATATTTTATTCATAAGAATAATGTTAGTAGTAAGAAAAAAAATGTAAATTAATGCCTTTATACAACATATTTATGTATTTATTCATCACGGAGCAAGATTTTTTATTCTGTAATTTTTATTTTTTTTTCGAATATAAAAACTTTATTTCTTTATTTAAATTATTTTCTAAATATCAAGAATATATTTATCTTGATTTTTTTCGATAAATATATTATTTATATTTATTTTACGAAGTAAAAATATAACAACTCTTTTGGGAAAGTTGCAACAAGTAGTGTTATACGAGCTAATAATGTGATTAATGAATATAGAAACAAGCTCGAGCTATGTGTAGCTCAGAGCTAGTTGTATTCGGTTCGTAATCGATTGCTTGTGTGTTGAAATGTTCGTTCAAGCTGTGATTGGAAAAAATATCACTCTGCTGTTCACAAAGATGTGAGTGTTATATCATAGCTCACTATGGTGTGTCGGTTCGATTTCGTCACAGAGTGATGGTTATTTTTTAATATTTTTAGGGACGAAAAATAAACGCGTCACAACACGTTCATCTTCTACTGGATTCAAACGTAGCAAAATCCGAAAAGGCGTCGTAATCCTGGTGTGGGTGTCGGTGTGGGTGGGTGTCAGTGTGGGTGTCGATAATCTCTTCAAACACTCACACCCCACACCCGCCTAAACAACTGATCCACTCATACTCCTACATCCACACTCACACTCTATGTTCACAACCACTCTACACCCCGCAGTCACAGTCAAATCCACACCCACCACAGCCCATATAGCCAAATTCACATTCGCCACACGCTATACACTCACACCGACACCCAGAAAAAAAACCAGGTAACTCTTGAAGCCAATCATTGAATTTTCAGAGCATCTATTGTTTTTGCTCTTTTCATAGCTTGTTTTAAGCTTTGTCGATTAAACGCATCTTTCTTCTAGCTGCAAAAATATCTGTCAAAAAAAGCCCAACAATAAAGATGATAATATTTTATTCCCATATCTCTTTCGTCAATAATAAATTTTATCGTTGCTTTCTTCAAACTCGCCTTTTCAATGATCAAGTAATCTATGTAAGGAGACGACTTCTGCTGCATTTTCGGCGATTTTTCACTTTTATAACATTTCACTTCAACGGCTATACGCACTCAAGTCTAAAACGCAACAACAGGTAAGGAATCAATCAGAAAAGAGGAAATCAAGAATCTGTGTATCAGGGGCATCTGGATGTATGTAGGTGTAGGAGTGACGGCTTTAGTGTTGATGCTAGTCTTGACTCAACATACACCAGCATCCAGATCCTTCTAGCCACAGCCACACCCGATGAGAACGAGACTTGATATCTCTTTTTCAACTACTCATCCGAATCTACAAAGTTGTCAAAAACTCCTCATAGTTTTTGAATAGATAGACGAATATCAGTTGATTCTTCTATAGAAGCCAAACTTTATTTTAACATGGTTTTTAAATATTTAAAAGAACGAAAAATTGCGTTCAAATTGAAATATACTCTATGTTTAAGTTCCAATCTTGCTTTCTATGATATACTTGTAACGAGAATTTTTGTTTTTATTGTTCTATTTAAGAGTAACAGTACTCGAATTAATGCTAGTAATTTATCAGAAATATGAAGTCAATATGATGCGTATTGAGATATCCATATCTATTACAATATCTTCATATTCTGTATACCTTCATTTGTCTATAGTAAGAAATGTATCTCTGAGAATTTTAAACAGGCATAAATAAGTATCGATCAAAGTTTTCGAGCATCTTTGCAGTTTATTGGCCTATTCTTCAGCGAATCGTAACTAACACAATGCGATTTAGTGACTTTATTATACATCAATACCCACAAAAAAATTGTTTTAGCTCTACAACAGCACACTCAGTTGCAATCGAATTCGGATCATATATAGTCAGGGTATGGAATTACGAAAGCATGAATTTTCGACTCATAAAGTCTTTACCTTCATAGGTTATCAAGTTTGTAGTGGAACAGAACCGAGCATATCATTACTCCCCTATACCTAGTCGAATAGCGATACGGTTTTGTAAGTATCATATATGATTCATATAGTGGCGGCGCCAAGGGTGGGCTGGGGTGGGCTGAGCCCACCCTGG